AAAGTTTCCTCCAAATGTCTGTCTGTCAGCCGTGTTCTTGTTTTTGAATTTAGGATTTTCATTTTAATAAAAAAACTGTTCACATATGTAGGTACTGCGAAAGATAGAAGACATTAAGAGTGCATGTTTACGAATTCCTGGATACTTGTCTTCGGTCACGCACTTCGAATAAAAATTAATTAATGTAGGATTTTCAAGAAACTTGCGTTTTACTGCAGTCACACTGTAAATCTATAAATTCTAATTGTAGTTCATGTGGAACACTTCCAACGTCTACAGAAAATGGCGAGAAGAACATTCTAATAAAAATTTCATTTTCGCAAAAATCGGAAAATCTGGTTTTGAAATCCTCTTTGAAATTTGAAGGGCATTATACATAATTATTTGAATTCCAATATTATAGAGTTCTTCGCACACTCCATTAGTTTTAGAAAAGTGAGTGGAATTCTTATTTAGCAACTGATTTTCCCACGGGATTAATTTTGTCTCAAAAGCTTTAACAAAGTAATAAAGATTATGAACAAGTAGATCTTTTCCCTGTAAGTGGTAGTTCAAATCATTGATATGACCTGTAATATCTGCAAGAAATGCAAAGTGTCTCAACCATTTCTCATCACCAAACTCATGAATAGATTTTCCTTTAGATTTCATGAATTGTTGAATTTCCCTCTTCAAAGGAAACAGACCCTGAAGCATCTTTCCTCAGCTCAACTAACGTACTTCTACGTAATACACAACATCACCAAATTCAGCTTCCAAATCACTCAAGAACTGTTGAAATTGCCTGGAATTAAGTCCTTAGACGGAATGAAATTAGCCACCTTTACAACAACATTCATCACATGTTCAAAGTTTGAGAATGACTTCTGCACAAATTTTTTTGGTGGCTGATGCAGTGGAAAGTCATCACAGTATTACTTTCACTTGCCTTCACATCAGATATGAGTAATGTTCTTACTCCTATTTTCTCTCCAGTCATAGACTTAGCACCATCCGTGGTTATAGCAGATATATTACTGAAGTCAACATTACATTTATCCAAAGTTTGTGTCAGATTCGAATACAGATCCATTCCTCGTATTGTACCTTTAAGTGCAACGACACTCGCTAATTCCTCTACTATTGTGAAGTCTCTATCAACGCCACGAATAAAAATGGCTACTTGTGGAGTATCTGTTGATTCACCCATCGCTACAGAATAAAACTAAAATTTTTTGCATTTGGATTTTAATTTATTGAATATATCTGTTGCGAGATCCTCTATGCGCCCCGCTACTGTCCCACCAGACAAGCTAATATTTGATATGACTTGAGCCTATGATAAGCAAAGCACATCAACTGCACTCTGAAGACATTCTTTTGCAAATTCTCCTTAAGTAAATGGTTATCCACGCTTAGCAATTTTTTCTGCTATCACGTAACTAACACGAACACTATTTTTAGATTCTTTATTCGCTGTGGTGTCAGGCTGCTGAAAGTCTGACACCATAGCGACCAAAGAAAGACTGCTGAAAATTTAGTTTTGATTTTAATTCACTTCGAAAATGACCTTCCAGTGCAGAATATTTCTCACTGTGCTTAGTATCATAATGTCTCTTAATGTTGTATTCCTCCACCACAGCTACACTGCCGTTGCAAATAAAGCAAACTGCCTAAAATTCGTCATTTTCAGAAAATGTTATCATAAATAATATCACGCATGTCAATAAAAATGTTTTAAATATCAAGAATAAGAGAAAATGTTTTTTTTTTTTTTTTTTTTTTTTTTCGAGGAAAAGCTGACAAGGCAATTTTTCTTGAAATCAAAATTTATTAAAATTCTTCAATTTTTCTTCAAATTCAAATGGGCGGACATTAAAATGCCTTCAGCGGGCCACTCGTGGCCCGCGGGCTACGGGTTGAAGACCCCTAATTTAGCCCAAGGTTGGACAAAAGCTGTGGGCCGCGTCTTGCCTTTCGATTGCTTAATATTTCCATCTTTTTTCCACCCGATTTTGTACACAAACTACCGAAATCAGCAGCACGATTTCTCATCTATTGTTACAGCGTATATGCCCATATATATATACGCATGACTAACCAGCGATTAACCAAAACTGAGAACACTAGGTCTACTAGATAACATACACATCCACCGAAGAATATAGTCCTATCATTCTTACAACTTTAATTTAGAAATTAAAAAATGACATATGAATAATGTGGTTATAAAATAACTAATGAGAAAAGAGAGCCTAAGGAAAGAATGTTTCACCTCTAAAGTTTGATTTGAAATGAAGCGTATATTGGCCAATCATTTGATGACCAATAGGAATAGATTCCATTTCTGACGTAATTGTAATTTTTTTAAATTGCCATTTTTTAAAAACTCTCTAACGGGAAGCGCTATTTCCCTCCTCCTATCGGGTTCTACAAGAAATCGCCTCAACCCATATGGGGCAGTAAAATAAAACCTTTTTCGGCCCGTAGTTAAAAGCAATTGCTTAACTCTAATCTATATCTTCTTATCATAATCTACGAGTAACAGACAGTCAGAAAGCAGAATAAAACCTGGGTGAAAGTTAAAGCAGATTCAAGCTCGAAACGTTTATACTGCAAATGCCGCACGTTTGGAACCTCAGCATGTAAAAAAAAATGAGATTTGCATTAAATGCATTATGTTATACTGACTGTAGATTTATCGTACTGTCAGTGAAGGATTAAGTGACATTTTTATTCATCCAGATGTCTGCAAATGTTGGAACACATACGTGTGCCATCTAATTCAATTCAATTCTAGTGTCTAATTCTTTAAATCAATATTTAATTGAAAAAATAACACAGATGTTTGTTATACAAAGTCCATAAATGGGTCATTCACTTCAGTAAAGAAAAAACTGAAATTCAAAAGAGAGATTTGACTGATTCGTCCTCTCTCACCTAATGCTCTCACGCGAATAAATGACTACAACTGCATTGTTGTCAGTCGACAAAGCGATATCGTACTTTAGATAATATGAGAGAAAATGATTTTTTTTCACTTATCGCTTCCACATTCGTGTGACAGAAAATCCTATTGTGTGCTAAGAAACAATGAGATCTTCAGCTATCTGTTTGTATCTTATATATAAATTATTATTCTGTGAGAGTATAGCTATGAGAACTTTTCATAAAATGTACAGCTCTTTGACGCTACTAAATCCCGAGAAGAAACAATAATCAGTTGAAAGCGTCTGCATTTTATACGTTTACGTTATTGATAATTAATTCAAATAATGTAATTGTTATCTTATTTTATAACTTCTATTTAATTTCTTTACGTTTTTTATCTGACAGAGCAAAAGTACATAATAAAACATTTCACTTTAATAATCAATATTCAACAAGAAAGTTTACTCTGGGAAACTTTAACCAATGTAATTAGGCGTGTTATCACTGAATTACAGGTCATAGTAAGAATATTCTAGTTTGATTCCATTTCAGAGATATTCGGGTTTCGCATTTCATGTGTGACATTAAATTATGGACTTTTTAGGTGTTTTTAGATTACGAAAAATTACATAGGAAGAAAGTGACACACTGTATGTAGACATCTGTAAGCAAATGATTAAACATTTTGATGCAATATTAAAGCAACCGAAGCAATACTTTCATTAATTAAACATCAGTAAGTAAAATGGTATATATTAATTTTTAGTTTAGAGTAGTAATCTTTTAATTGTTCAAACTTCCATTGTTTTTGTAGATTAAGCCACATAACTATAAAACAATTTTGCAACCCATAGCATCTAGACCAGCCCAGCCTGATAATATACTATGTAAGGTTATGTCGATTTAATATAAGCAAAATGTAACATTTCGACAAATAAGTGATTACATATCTTTTATTAGAAATATATGCCTCTATAAGCAGCTTATAATTAAACATCTGCAGACATCCTTGCAAAGATTGCAAAGAAATATTTTTCCAGAGTATTAGAAGTTTTAACAGTTCAACTGCCTTAATTCTTGATCACGATTATGATGGTAATCAGACCCAAATAACAAATGGTTTTTTTATCATTAATTGAAACTTTTTAATAAGTTAAAAAATTCTACAACTTGGTTTATTTAGTATTACCTAGTAATATATCTAAACTCCACTCAGCCCATATTTTGGCCGTCCGTTTTAAATTAAATGGGATTCTGTTACTCGTTTTATTCAGCCCCATACTACATGTTTTCAATCACTAAGAACTTGAAAGTATCATTTTTTGTACTGTTTAACCAATGTATTACTCTTTCCCAACGCAATTCACTTCTTCACAGTTATAGAAAAATAGTTATTCACAAATTTCTTTTCAACTACGATCTCGCTTATTTCCCTCAACAAGCAAAGAAAGGGATAAAATACTATAAAGTTCATTTATTGTGCTCAAATTACATGCTTAAATGCAGGCAGTTGTACACGTCGAACTTTATCTTCACATTTCACATTTATTTTTCAATATTGTATTTTACCAGATGTTTGTGCTAATTAGACGTTTAAGGATAGAGCTAGTTTTGGATGAGTTTGATTTAAATTATTTTACTTTTGTTGATTGTCTAATCAATTTTTTTCTTTCAATTTGAATTAATCTAATGGTAGATTAAGAAAAATCGCCGGAACAAAAGAATAATGCTACCCTCTCAACAAAGACATTATCCAATTTGTGTTAAGTTGGCAACTTTTTTTCTTTTTTTTAATTTTGCAAAACTTAACGTGAGGTTTACAATGTTTCTAAAAAAATTCTTTAGCAGATGGTATCGCTTCTGAATATCATTTTTTCATGTTTAGAGTGATCCAAAATTCAGGTTAAGTATTGTTCAATTACCATTGCAAGAGCTCTGTCAAACACAGATGTGACTTACAAAGATGTCACTCAAAGTCATTGCATTATGTATGGTATAAATGTACACGTGACCTAAACATACGTCATAGGAAGAGTTCATTTTGTAATATATAATAAAATCCTTTTCCTGAAAACTCATAATATTAAGAAGAAGGAGCTGTTTGAGAATGAATTTCTTAAGGAACGTCTGTTGCTGGCTGTTGCTTTTCCATTGTAAGTGAAATTTTTTAGTATTGAAATACAATGAAAAAGGTAATTAATAAAATTGTTTTGACTTAAAATAATCAGTATAAAGTGATACGGCCGTTAATTATCCCTGGTTGTTGACATACAAAAGCAGTAAGCAGAAAGTATGTACTGCTTGAAATTACCAGTTACAAAACCTCAACGTATTATAGGTTATATTTTGGGCTGGAAAAAGGAAACAAATATCTCGCCATATGCTCTGAAATAAGTCCGTTAATGTGTGACACGTCAGATGCATTAGTGTAGTGAGTTAAATCTCATAGTTAGAGCTGGAACACTGAGCAGCGAGATAACGATCAAGGCGGCAGAAATAGATAGATGCATGCGTGCATAAATATATAAAGGGGGGAAAAAAAAGACTAAATTTTTTGTAGGCAACTTCTTATGTATAAAAAATAATATTTAATCTTTCGTTTTTATTATTTTGCTTAATAAATTTCGGTTTACTTAATATTTGTTACTTATTATGAGCAATAATTTTTAAATTCCTTTGATGTGTACAGTTGTACCCCTATATGTTCCTTTAATTCAGTGACCAGTTCTCATTACTCCAACACGACTACCCCAAGATATGGACAATCAAAAACGGAGATCGGTTATCCAAATCGGATATTGTGCAGTACATATAGAAATTCCGATTACAATTTACTTTTCAACTATATAACTAATATGTGCGGTAACAATATTTTAAAATAAGCTGAAAAAAATATGTATCCACAGAAACGATGAATATGTCATACTTTTCTTAAAGTGTTTAAGGGGACTCAGTACCTTGTGAATGATTTTTCTTATTTAAGAACTTTCATCTACTTTTTATTAAATGGTTTTTTATTGAAAAGTTTTTGCAGTAGTTTGTTTTTTCAATATAAATTTTTTGAAGAAGAATTTAACAATTGAAATGTCTTTCTTCTCTACAGTTTTCAATGTTTTTGCCCAAAATTTTTTATTGTATTCATTACAGTGTTCTTAATAACTCTAAGGATCAATTTTTCAATCAATGGAATAATTTCTGACAAAAATAAAACCACTTTTTTGAGAAAAATTTTGAAAGAAATATGATCTCAATCACATTTTCACTACCAATAATTTTTTTTTTTAGTGTTTTGTAAAATCCATCCTTGTTTCCATTAAGTATATAATTTTAAACGAGCAGTAAAAATATTAAACAATTTAGTCCATACCTGTAGTATATGTTTTAGGAGTTTAAGTAAAAGGATTTATCGAAAAAATGCAAACTGTGAAAACGCAGTTTAAAGAATATAAACTGTATAAATGGTCATTTCAAATTTCTTAAAAATTTTATTACTGAATTTCAATACACACACACACACACACACACACATATATATATATATTAAAAAACAGTGCTTTTCAGTTGGTGCTATTATATAAACTAGTGCTATTGTGCAAATATGAGTTACAAGCTTTTATTTAAAATTTATCTGGCCAGAAAGATTGCCCCCCCCCAAAAAAAAAAATCTCATAAAATGAGAGTAGAACGTTTCTTTACTTTTTTTTTTTTTTTTTTGTGAAACACGTTCAAAACAATTTTAATACATGAATTAATTATAATATACTCTCTGAAACATTTATAATCAATATTAAAACATTTATAGTTAATATTGCTAACACTAATTTGTCGTTTTGTTCATTTTTTTAAAAAGCAAAGTTTGAAATTTTAACAGACATAACACATTTTATTTAACATCATTCAGTAGCGTATGTGATCTCTTCTCTTCTTTTAACTATTCGTTCTCGTATATGAATTGCATTTTAAATTTATTTAAACTTTGGTTTTTTAACTGAAAGTTATTATTTTAATTACGCGATGCCTGAAAAAAATAAAAATTGTAAAATTAGACAGGATATTGCATTTTCGCATTCATCTGTTAACTGCTGCAATGCATACAGTACCATATTTTCTGTTAAATTAAGTTGAAGATCTAGAAAAATAAATAGCGTTTTAAGTTTGTTTTATCGTTGCTAGAGACTATTTTAGATTTACTTTAAATATGAAATTTTGAACCATACATATTAGTAATCAAGCTAGGGAGCTGTAATGTAATCAGATTTAATTTTTAACCTTTATCTGTACACTACAAAGCACTACGATAGAAAAGGATCTCCTTTACCGGCTGTCCATATCTGACGACATTGCAAAGGGAGTTTTTCATCATTCTTCACAACGAATCCAAACAGACTGACTGATAATGGATATTCATCTGTATTATTATTATTACTATTATTATAATTAGGCATATATATGTGCAAATAAATCATTAATAAGCGTGAGAAATATTTATTTACAGGTATATGCATGACGACTGATGGTAATGCAAACCCAGTATCCTATTCCTGCGTGACAAACGATTGTTACAAAGCAGGTAATATTTTAATTTTCACATATGTTTGGTTTTCTTGATAGTTCAGATAAGGACACCTTGTTTCTTTTCGACAGACTATTTAAATTGTCATATTTCCAATATTAATACCAGTATCCAAGAAGCTAATTAACTATACGTAAGTCCGCATAAAACGTATAGAAATATATAAGTGCAGCTGAAGCCTAGCAGAAGTACTTTGTTGCAAAACGAAACATGCAGAATACTTTTCAATGTCAGTTTGAATAAAAATGATAAAATTTTAAATATTTAGAAACTTATAAACCTATGACATTCTCAGTGGGAGTCAGTACAAATAAATTACAACATATGTGTATAAATCCCCAATCCTTCTTACAAAGCTTTGCATATAAAATTACTAAAAAATATAAAAATTAAAATGTAAATTATAGGGAATGTTGATTTGCATAATATCAACAGAAGGATTTTTATATTAAATATTGTTAATAACTTTTATAAAAAATAGAGCATTTGTATGAGATAAAAAATATTGCAATCCCCTAAAAAGTGGAAGAATTATATTGCTGATGTCTCTTTTGTTATTCATTTTATTTCAGAGTGATAAAAGCAACGTCAAGTTGGCAAACGCCTGGCCCTTCGTGATCGAACAAAATTGCCTTTCATTACTAAATATAAAGTCTTGTTAGTCAAATGAAAAGATGGTGGCGCAATATTCACGGATATCCTGCTTCTAACTGATATTGAGACAACCATGAGCAAACATTCCAAACTAATAGTTATAAGATCTCTGAAGATGCTTGTAGAAATTGCTGTTTTTCAGTATCTAGAAATGAGAAAGATCTTGAAGCTGTGCTGCTCGTTAAAGTGGTCCATTCCGAAACTTTCAAAATGCTAACAATAGAGTTTTAGATTGGAACATTTCGTAACGGAGGGGATCTAGCACAATCATGCAAAGCTCATGCGATGCTTTTATGACTTTGAAGTAAAATAAATTATAACAGATATTATCGATAGAATTTTATTTACTGAGGAATAAAAGTATTTTATTCTTTCTAAATGTTATACTTGAAAAAAAAAAAAAAAAAAAAAAAAAAAAAAACGCTTTTTTAAGTATTTAATAAGGATTTCTTCTTTATCCATCCTATTAATGACACTAAATCAAACTATATATTCCAGCATAAATTACTGTATAGGATAAAAACAATGATAATTAAATACAGTAAAATATTTCTTGATGTTCACCTCTCCAAAACAACTATTTCCTAAAGTGAACAGCATTTCTTACAACATAAGTAAACACCAGAATCGAAAATCGCCTTTCTAAGGCTAACATATTACTTAATTATTATGAATTAATTTATTCTAAATTAGATATATGGTATTATAGCTTTAAGAATGACCCATCTAAAAGTCGTTCTCGGCCTTAAATCTGGGAGTGATTGGTTATTTCATTGCTGCTGGTCTCCAGAATTAAAGTTAGAAACATAATGCTTTGCAATAATTTAAGGTAGCTTCTACTTGTATTTAAAAAACATTGATGTTATACGCAATTTGAGCTGTAAATGTAATGTAAGCATGTTGTGATCGTTGTAAGATTAAAAAAGATACATTACATACATAAAAAGATCTGTGAAATGCTCAATTAAAATGAGCATTTACAATTTTTTGAGAATGAACTCAGATGGTGAATAGCCAGCAGGCTTTGGACTGTGCGTCTAAAGACACGTATTATTTCGAATGTTGCTATCCAAATTATAGCACAAATTTAAGTCTACAAGTATCACCATCGGGAAGAAGTACTAAAAATCCCTTCCAAAATCCACAACATTTGAGGAAGATCTCTATACGTGGCATTAAATGCAGAATGCTATAGAAAAAGGAGGCTCTCCAGAAACATATGCTAGAGAGTATTTTGAAGTCTTCGCTGTAGTCTCTGATAAGAAGCTTAACACAGAAGGTTTATTCTAGCGACCAGGGTTGCATATCCTCTTCAAGAAATTGTAGAAGAAACTGTCTTTAACAGTACCAAGTTAACTTGTAGAGTCATTTAAATTTTCGAAGCAAGAAACATAAAACATTTGCTAAGTCCTTGCTGTGATTTGAACTTCCAATACTTCCAATTGTACATAAAGTCACAAAGTTAAGAGGGAGAAACTCACAGGACGCGCTTCCAATTACACCATGAAGGCACAGAATCAGGAGGGAGAAAATGCCTTACATACTATTCTTAGGCAAAGCAAAATGGGGCTATATCTTCTTTAGCGAGATGCTTAGTGAAATGATTTTTAAAAAGTCGCCATTTGAAAAATCCTGGATCAGCAATTCATCTTTCCAAAATAATGCTTTACGTTTTCATAAAGAATCTGTATACTTTGTTAATACTTTGAAATTTTTAGCAACAAATTCCTCCCCGAGTTATAAATTGCAACGTATGTTTTTTTTTCCAATTGCTTTTTACTTAACAATGATTTTGTTTTCCTGAAATTTGTTGAATTGACTACATCATTTTAAAGAAATAATTTCAAATAAATACAACTTGTAATATTTGAAAAATAGTGGCCAAAATAATTTAAAAACTAAAATTAATTTAAAGCAACAAGTTTTAGACTTTGAATCCCATCTTCATGTTTGTTAAAAGTTATGTCGTCTATTATAAAGAAATATGTAGAAAAAGCCTTATTTTAAATATACAAGGTTAATATTTGATGAAATTTCTTCGAGTAAAATTCGCTAATATTCGAGGATCCTTGCATCATATCGTTAAATTACCTGCTTTTCTTTAGCTAGTGTTCGTCTTTATTTGCTATTAACACCGTTCGATAATTCAGCCTGCTTCCTCTTATTAGCTTAACCTATTGGTTTCAAAATTTTGTTTTATTTTTTTGTTTTATTTAATTTAAGAAACCAATAAAACTACAATTTTCTTTTGCTGTAAAGATACCTTTCTCATAAACGCCAGTGATTCCAAATATTATTGAAAATATGTTGACTGCTTTTATAAGAGATTGAAAAGAAGATAATTATTTCACTATCATTTTACGCATAGAAGAGATCAACTTCATATTACATAAGGTAACTGTAACAATAAAATGAAAAATATTATTTAATTTTTCAGTTTAGATATTTAGTTTTGAGAATATGGCATTTGAAAATTCTCCGATATTTCGGTTTAGACTCGAGGAAACTCTACAGGAAATATGTGGACCTCAGAGTTCCGCAGAACACGTTTTGAAACCCAAAGATTTAAGTATTCAAAAGCCTATTAACATTTAAGAGTGAAAATATTTTTTTTATAATTAATGAGACTTTATCATTCTTCTAGCTGAAAGTATTAAGTCCTATTTGGATACGTCTGTGGATCCTTGTGATGATTTCTACCAGTTCGCGTGTGGTGGATGGATGAGAAAAAACATCATTTTTAAGAACGACTTTTATACTTCTGTCTTCTCCAAACTTGTAGATTCGGTCATATCAGCATATCTTTGTAAGTAAAGAATTTTAAGATTTTGATAAGACATTTAATCTCAATCACAGCGTTAAACAAAAAGAGAGATTTCTGATTGAATGAATAAATTATATGTTTCCGAAGCGTTTGAGACGTATCCTCGAAAGTTGGGAGTTAAAAATTTGAATTCCTTTTAGAATCCTGAGTTTAAATTTAAAGTTGTCATTTCTCTTTAATGACAGTGTTTTAATGTAGATAAAGACTTTTAGTAACACAACTCTGTAATCGCAATTTAAATTTATCCTTTATAAAATTCTTTAAAAAAATACTTAAAACAATTCCACTCAGAATTTCCCCCAAAATTGGTGTTTTCAAGATTCCATTAAGAATGGTTCCGAAATCGATAGCCTTGCGATTTACAAAAGCGATTTAAATTGGTCAATCTTAAAATCTAGATAATCTGTAATGGACTCAATAGACTCACATATGCTAAGAAATCAGAAAAACTTAAATACCTTATGATATTGTTACGAATTCTGTACATAGATAGATGATGTTAATGCAACTATATGCGAAATTGTCATATTTTTCAATGAATAATATAATATGAAAATGTAGATAGTGGAAATTGCCAGAAAAATAAGACAGCAAGGACAAGTCTATTTAACATGAGAGCTATTTCGCTAATATCGGGAGATATATTGCCAATCTGGCAACGATTTTGGTAACTAATTTTTATCACCAAAATTCGCCAAACTCGGCAACCATTTGGTCCTGTCCTTGTATCACCGTAATAGGTATTGTAACAGAATAACTGTGATTGATTTCAGATGCAACTGTAACTGTACCCTGCCTCATATGTCTTCCAATAATTCGGGACGTAATAGACCTTTCTCGGAGGCCGAGTGAAAACTATACAAGCCAGACAGAACATCTGCTCTCAGTTCTTATTGATAATTGTTAGTTCAGCGTGTGTTTGGAGTACTGAGATATCTCTGTGTTATGCTGTTTAGATGCACTTTTCATTGCCTTGTGTTTAACCTTCTTAGTACATTGAAATATAACTACTGACTGCACACTGTGATACTGTGAAGAGCTGTATGACTATTTTTGTGGAAAGTTCCAGAACTGTGTACAGTTCCTTTGATAAAATAAATTTTATCAAGATATCATCGGACCTATGTACATTCAATCTATTACGAGTATGTACGCCCACAACAATCTCATTCACTATTTAGATGCTGCAAAATATCAATCAATCCACACAATATGCAATGAATTCACTAAATTCAGTCACATATGGGAAAAAAATAAAACTATTATACTTTAGGCTAATATCTTTAAATTTATTTCAAATTATCCCGCTCATATAAATTCTCTTCCTTTCAACCAATCGCTGTCTAACTGAACTTCAATAAACACAAATCGTTATTAAAAATTTTATTAGTACTGCTGGCAGATAAAATGTTAAATTAACAACATTATTCGCGGCAGTTTTGTGCGATTTTCAAATTAATGAAGTATACAAGTAACAACAGTACAATGTAAATTATCCTAATAAGGACTGGCTCCAACTAGTTTCCTCCAACTAAATCTAAACGTTAACAAAATGCAAGGTAATTCACCAATATCTACCAAATGGCCGCTCGCAACGGCACAGCTCTGCAGATTAGTTAACTATCACATTATGGAATGTCCTGCACAAAATATTGCTTCCGAAAGTTATCTAAGCTTAACCCTTTTGAGACAGACTTCACACCATATGGAAAATGCATTTGCGAGCCAAAACTTCGGGTGGCACATCGTGTGTGCAATAATATTGAATTGAAATTATCAGTCAGTATGGAAGAAGCAGCCGTCGGGATAAGATTGGTTTAAAAAAAAAAAAAATTCTTAGAAGTGTACAAGCATAACATTTGAAATTGGCTTCAGGTTAGTCCCTAAAATGAGTGACCCCCCAAACCAGAACCATCAGAAATGCTGAAAACGAGCAATGATTGTGAAAATGATAATTTGGTGAAATAGAAGAAATGAAATTGCAGAAAATAGAAGAAAGAACAGAAATGTTGTTGTAATTAAGGATAGTCATTGTGATCCGGAATATAAGGAAGACACGCATATGAATATAGATCTGTAGATGATACACTTGATGAGATTTTTGAGGAAACTGATTGGGAAGATTATAATGAAAATGAAACTGAACAGCTTGAAACTGAAGTTGGTGAAGATACGGAGAGATAGACAGATGACGGTGATTTAAAAAAAAAAAAATTCCTGGGTCTCCAAAAGTTACTTAAACTATTCATACAATTTAAAAAAAAAATTATTTGTGTATTTTATTCTTTTCTTCATTACTAAACTTGCTGATTGACTATTTTTGGAGTAAATGTTATTCCAGTTTAATGACGCCTTTTAATTTTATTTTGCATTACACACATGATTTTCAATCACCTTATTTATACGAAGTGATTGATTTCTTTTGCAAACATGTATTTTTTATTAAGATTGGTCAATATAAAGCAAAAACAAATATCGGCTTCTGGAGTTGGTCTCCAAAAATTTATGCCGTCTTGAATGGGTTATATTCTGTTGAAAGGTATGGACAGAAAGAAGGTTCGAGTAACAGTCAGTATAAAATAATATGTTACGTAAGAAGAGAACAATTATAATTTTATGTTTTTTTTTTTAATTTGATGGCTATAAACTTAAAGCTTATGGTTAATTGTCATTATTCAAGTCTCTGGCCTGAAATATATATACTCCATAAATGGAAAAAAAGGCTTTTTAATTCCGCTTTATAATTTTATGGTATTTTCCCCTGGACATCCGCTAGCGTACAGGCCATTTTCTTTTACATTTCAGTACTCAGAAATCCTGTTTATTTTTGCAATGTAAGGTGAGGCCTTTGAGCTATAACTTCGTTTGGCAGATAGAGACAGATGGAAGCATTAGGATACAACACTAACCTCGACATCATTGAATTTCCTGATGACTAACATTCCCTGTGTTAAGAAATAGCCATCCTTTTTCTGGGAGGACGGTTTGTATTGTAATTGGCACTTGTGGGACAGTTATCTAGGAATGAGAGACTGACAGACCTGGACTATTTGAAGCCCTTATGGTACTGATGCCTCAAACCCTAGAGGCGATCCAAAGGGGGCCCCACCCCGCGATCAAGCCCAGGAGATAATTATGCATACAGTCAATTTTATGAAACGCAAGTCAAAGGTAACCGAGCACCAACAAAGGGTCATACAAAGAAAACGAAAAAACTAAGTGGAAGACTGTCCTCTAGTGCTGACCAACGAGATCTAAGCCCCCGAGGACAGCCTTATAACATCTAACCATGCAGCGTTCTCAAAACTAAGGGGAAGAGAGAAGAGAGTTAGTTTCAGTACGGATCTTGCCGAACCTTAACTTACCACCAAATGATCGACGGTTCTATTCACTGTAAAAAGTTATTATGTACCCTAGGAGCCGAGTTTATCTAAGTACAGGTGCTAGCCAGAGTGCTGGCGAATGCCTCCCCCTCCAGTCGACTCCATGGAGGTAGGAAAGGACTTACTTCCTACCTCCATGGTCGACTTCCGCAGGGAAGCACTTTTCAGACAACTTAATTTGACTAACCAGCTTACAGACCAATAAACGCTTATCACCAATGATATTCTTGTCGTTCCTAATGGCTAGATATTTGCAACTTAGATTCTTCAAGAAGGGCCAAACCTGTTGGTCATTTAACACTTTCATCACTGACAGCGTTGTCCAGAATGCACCACGATTTCTCCAGAGGACTTTTGGCTAGAGAGTATTTTAAGTGTCCTCATGCTACAGAGACATTTTATACTTACAAACATCCAGGCTTTCTCCAGGATGCAAACCTGGGCCTAAGATTACGATAGCCTGCTCCTGTTCTAGTACGTGATCATTAGTTAGTAATAGAGTTAGAATATTTATGCTAAACGTGATATTGGTTCGATCATCAATCGCTCGTATTCTGCTTATTTGTATATTTTATGTGTTAACAGAGAACCTCTAACCAATTTTAATTTCTTATATTACAATAAAAAAGTTTATCTTCAATTTTTATAAAAACATGATTCTGTAATTATGTGTTGGATGCCCTTTTATAAATTATCCGTCAATCTGAACTCCAGTTAAGGGCAAATATATATTGAATTTATATATTTGCGGTTTCCATATTTCTTAGTCTTATATTTATACACATTATAGAAGCTATTGAAAGTGATTCCGTTCGAAAGGTATTTTTAGCATTTACTGACTAATTACTGCGCAAAATATCTCATTTATTATAACTTAGAAATTTAACATTAAATATAAAATTCGTTTTTAAAAAGATTCTTTTAACAGATGCGTATATTGCTGCTACACGCATATGGTTCTAAAGGTGCAAGCCATTTTCAACATAAAAAAGGAGCAATTAAGCTTTAATAAAGATTGCAATGGAAAGCTTTCCTTGTGTAATATTTGGCGGCGGTACAGAAGAAATGTATTCAGACAGCAAACAACACGCTAATAACCCTTTCGGTGGTGTTTTATCAATGCTCTCTGACTATTGTAAAACCATAAAGAAAAACGATTCGAGCTTGATCCAGGAAAAACCGTGTTATCTTTGATAATTTAGTCGCATTTCCTTTAGCTACACTTTTTTTTTTTTTTTTTGATGCAGTAAACATCTTATTGCTTAATGAATAAATAACTTAATGACTTAAGCACTACTTAATGACTCAATGTCTAAAATAAATATGAATCAGTGCTGTTCCTCTATAATTTTATAATACTTCAAAAGATATGAATTGTTTCTTTTAATATATGAAATTCAGATTCTGTAATACAGAAAACTTAGACATGATCATGCTTCGGGAGCTGACAGAAGAGATGAAGGCTAAGAATCCAGAAATAGCTATTGAAGTTGGTTGTCACTGCCTTAAAATTAGTTTCTATTACATATGCCCTATCGCGCAAAGACTCTTAAAATGTCAAAACACAAAAATTTTGCTGTATATTTTTGAATTAATTAGTCTATTATTTATTATCAAGCTCAAACCTATAATTTTAAATTTAAAAAAATATTTTTAAATTTTTAATTTAATTTTATCTTAAATTTTTATGAATTAAATATGTTATCATAAAATAACATAACTATAAATATTTACGTTATTTTATAATAAGATATTTAGCTCATAAAAACTGAGATATATTTAATTTATAACATAAACAACAAAAATAGTTATAAAAATTTGCAGTTTTGTTTTTTTATTTATTTAAGCACAATTTTTGCAATTGCTCGAAACAAAACGTCTTTAAAGTATCTATTATATCCTTTACATCATAGCTAATTCTCAGATGTTGTACGACAAAAAGTAAAATTTTTAATATAACACTGAATAAAAATGTAGGAAATTAAAAACAATGAACGCACTGTTTAATAATTTATATCTTTTTTTAAGATGTGCCTTAGTTTTTTAAGATTTTTTAAGATGCCATTTCAATTAAAACATATTTATCTTGAAATATAACAAAATGCCAATTTTTATGAAAATTTGAACTTTTGTCGCAATCTATAAAAGATGGTCCTAATACCATATGCTGTGTAAGCGCTACAGTATGCTTTATCTATTGCTTAAATTATTTTCTGTATTTACTTTAAAATTTTTCAGTTTTAAACCCTTCTACGAGGTATAAACTGTTATCTGAAATTTTCACGTGATTGTTTTTTTAGAGATCTTTTCTCTCTTAAAAATAACTAATCATTAAATAATTTGGAAGTATTTACTCCAAGCAAAAGCAACAGGTAATATTTGGAAAAAAAGAACAAACAAAGGATTTACAAATTAAAATAAAATTTAAGAAACATATATTATACTTTTAATTCCAATTTTAGGATGTTAAAATTATTTGGATATCTCTGACGAATAAACAGACCAAAACGTCGAGGATCAGATTCTGATCCGATCATACCCTTTTAATTTTAACTGCTAAATTAAAATAATTATTTTTTAATCTTTAATTTATCTTAAATTTTTATGAATTAAATATATATTATTAAAATAACATAAATATAAATCTTTATGTTATTTTTATAATAAGATATTTAGTTCATAAAAACTAAGATATATTTAATTTATAATATAAACAAATATTTATATAATTCGAATATACTGTACCATATCATTAATTTTCTGTGGTTCCTTGTGGTGTCAGATTTATTCTCTCTGTTTTTTAGTAATCCTGTTCAATAATTTAAACTGGCCAGCAACGGAATAGCAATAAAATTACTGAACACGAGTAGTTCGACTTGGGTTTTAGTCCTGGCGTGTGAACTGGCTGCCCAAGACTTTGTGTTAAAGGTATTTGTATGAAGAGTCAAGATTCAATCGTTCACATTTTTTCCATGTGTAACGTGAATAGTAGCCAATTTCCTTTAATGTCTTCCACGAAGACGTTTCTTCAATTAAGATAGGTTTCGAATTTCTTTGCATTAGTCAGTTAACAACAAGCTCAGTAACGTCAATACACCTCTTTTTGTTAAACTATGCTTTAATGTAATGCATATTTAATTATGCATACATGTATGTACATTATGCATATGTAACCGATTATTTTTCATTAACTTTCTAGATGAGGAGATGCAGCCCTATGTGCAGCAAATTGAGAATCCTTGTGGTTTTTCCAACCAGTTTGCTTGTGAGGGTTGGAAGAATAGACCAGCTCTACCTGAAAACACATTTTATGTGTCCGTTTTAAACGAGCAGCAGCAGTTCATCCCCTTCAGAATCTACAGTAAGTAAACACTTTTGAATTTTGATAAATACTTTAATTTCAAGTATTGGTATTGTATAAGAAAAATAATTGTTCTAGGAGGATTGTATGTTTATATATTTTCCAGATATTTAAATACATCCACGAGAACTGGCAATTCAAATTAACATGGCCGAATCCATTTCAGGATCCGAAATTTAAAGATGCAATTTTCCTTTAGTGCCTTACTTTTAATACGCATAATTTGATTTCACATTTAGTAACATAGGAAATATACATAAGCAAATGAATTCGCTCAAATATATTGATATTTTTAATTTCGCTGAATAAATAATTAAACCGTTATTCTCACGATTCATTTAAAATCTAGTTAACCTCTGACGAAATCAATGGATTCATCTATATTAAGACACAAGAGAAAAAAAATCGCATTTTAATACCATTCTCCAGTACAACTACTATCAAGTCAGTCATTTATAGCCTGTAAGTGGCCAGATGGATAAAACACTGGGTGTGAACACTGGTGGTTCGGGTCAGTTTCGTATCCTGGCAAGTAGGCTGATTGTAAGAGCGTTTTAGTTATTTTCTTATGAGTGGTGGAAGTATAAGCGAGTATACTTTAGAAAGTACTTAATAAAGAATTCACATCGTTTCAAGAAGGAAGACCTATTTCAAATCGTGATATATATTGATTAAGTTTTATTCAAACCTTAAATCTATTTTCTTGCCGAATTTTTATTTTTATACTGAGATGTTTCTTTTCCAGTTATGAAAACACTTATCTAAATTTATGCCCAGAGAGGAAATATTATTAAAACTCTTAATTTTTTTATCTGAATATCAAGAAAATTACATGATAAATATTTGTATATTTATAAATGAAATACAGCTGGCCAACCTATACTTGTTGATTCTCTGATATAGAAAAACTCACTCATAAATTTCATAAACCAAGCATACAAGAATACATCTCTCGACAATAATTTTAGTAACTGCGTCTTGGTTCTACATAAAAATAAATTTTTCTCTCATTTAAATACTGAATCCCTATTTTAACATTCAAGTTCATGATTTAATTCTGCAAATTTGCCTTTCTTTTTTAATTTTAATATGTACTCTCCAATTTTTTATCATATTCAAATTTTAATGGTTTCTGTTCTTTCTCCTCGGTACGATTATGGCTTAGATCAGCGTCTCTTAATCTGTGGTTCACAAATCACAAGTGATTCTCGAAATTTGCAGCTCTTGTCTTCCAAGATTTCCAGAAATAACAAAATATGAAATCAAGTAATTGAGAAAAGATATTGAAATAACAATTTTCATAGACTAAAAGAGAAAGTTGATTTAAAACTTGAATGACACCTAACGTAAAATGAAATTTCTAGCAGAAGATATGATTAATTTCTTCACCTCACTATCAGTGAAAACGAAAGATAGCGAATCGTACAATGATACTTTTAAAATAATTATTCAGTTTGCTATATATCTGCGTGAGAAATGATTTCCATCACTAACTTAAATAAAAACTGATTACTGAAATTCAAGTGGAAGTTCCTTCATTCTAATAATGCCAGTATCAATATTTATTAAATTTTTTGTTAATAAGATGAAAAATATATAGCTTTAATAATCCTGATTTATTAAAAAGACTATCGGAAATTCTAAAAATATGCTGTTTCTAAATATTTTGTGATTTTGCTGTTGAAATGAATTTTATGTGACGTAAGTGCGAAGAACGTAAGTAATTAAAAAAAAAAAAAAGGTTTTAAGCCTAAATAAATATACTAAGAAAATAGAGCACTGATATGATAAATTGAGGAAAGAAAATTTAATGTTATGCCCACGCTTGACACTGCATCTGGAATTCTAAATATATGTTGATACGTTGCTTTTAAAATTTCTATGAGTTTGCTGTTGAATTGTATATGCCATAAGTACGAAGAAAACAATGCTTAATAATAAAAGTAAAAAGACAAAAATTAAAAAAAAAAAGGTTAGCAGGAGTCAGGCGTGAGTGTAACAGCAGACAGGTAGACTACGAGCTCTGCGAGATCGCAAAAATAAAACCATCACAAAATCTTTTGGAAGACCGTTTTTTCTTGTTTTCCGTAGTAAAATAGACTTGACTAAAGTTTAGGTCTAATAAAGAAGATGAGGAAACAGTCAATAATGTCGGTTTTCAAACAGCTTTTACTTTCGGATATTTATCTTGGATTACATTCAAATCCCAAATCTTAGCGTATCCACGTGTTTTGAATAAGACGTGTCAGTACAATCAAGTTTCCTTGCATCATAATATGAATGCTGCTCAGCGATTCTATGAGCCATACTGATTCATTTCAATTTTCAATGTCTTAGAAACAAGCATTAGAATCTTCTTTCAAATGTACCAAGTTCCTTCTATATAAAAATATTTTATGTAACGATATTGCTGAGGAAATGCAATCTTTTAATAATGACAATAATTTTAATTAAAATAGTAATGCAATTCGCTTTCATTCACTACCGATATAAAATAAATCAGTTTAGACGGGAAACCAAAAATAATCTTTCTAGTTTCATTGAGATTGATGTCTCTGTTGAATGAGATTGAAGTTTAGGTCTTCTGGAATGTACTAAGCTTGGGGTCTGGATCTTCAACGTTTCACGCCTGAGAGCCACATCATTAAATTCATAAAGATCCGCGGGCCACATGTCTGTCAAAAAAATAGTGTTGTCTGAAAATTTATTAAAAAAAAAGCAGGTTTGTTTTGTAAGACTACAATTCATTCTAGGCTAAGAGATAGTGTTACAGATTTGTTTATATATATATACATTGATTCCAAAAAGTTAAATGGAAATCGAATTAAAATGTTTTGCAACTTTTTTGAACTATGAAAAAAAAAAGCGTAAAGATGATTGTACGGAACGATGCCATAAAATGCATTTGCAATAAAAAAAAAGAAAAAAAAAACTTACATTACTGGAGGTATATGGTAGTTATTTTAGTTTTAATGTGAAATTTGGCATTGTTTTTGCTTAATTAAAGCTTCAATATCCGGTTTAATCTGTGTTGCTGTAATTCGTAAAGTTTCCTCCAAATGTCTGTCTGTCAGCCGTGTTCTTTTTTTTTTTGATTTTAGGATTTGCGTTTTACTAAAAAGCTGTTCACATATGTAGGTACTGCTAAAGGTAGAAGACATGAAGTGTGCATGTTTACGAATTCCTGGATACTTCTCTTAGGTCACGCATTCGAATAAAAATTAATTAATGTAGGATTTTCAAGAAACTTGCGTTTTACTGCAGTCACACTGTAAATCTATAAATTCTAATTGAAATTCAGGTGGAACACTTGAATTCGTCTACTAAAAATGGCGTCTACTGAAAATGGCGAGTCTACTGAAACTACGTCTACTTAAAATGGCGAGAAGAACATTTTAATAAAAATTTCATTTTCACGATAATCGGAAAATCTGCTTTTGAATTCCTCTTTGAAATTTGAAATGCACTGTACATAATTATTTGAATTCCATATTGTAGAGTTCTTCGCACACTCCCGCAGTTTTAGAAAAGTGAGTGGAATTCTTATTTAGCATACCCGTAGGATTAGTTTGGTCTCAAAAGCTTTCACAAAGTAATAAAGATTATGAACAAGTAGATCTTTTCCCTGTAAGTACTAGTTCAAGTCATTGAGATGACCTGTAATATCTGCAAGAAGTGCAAAGTCTCTCAACCATTTCTCATCACTAAACTCGTGAATAGATTTTCCTTTAGATTCCATGAATTGTTGAATTTCGCTCTTCAAAGGAAACAGACGCTGAAGCATCTTTCCTCGGCTCAACTAACGTACTTCCACGTAATATACAACATCACTATATTCAGCTGCCAAATCACTCAAGAACTGTTCAAGTTGCCTGTGATTAAGTCCTTTAAAAGGAATGAAATTAACCACCTTTACAACAACATAGAAATTAGAAAAATGTGAGTGGAAGTTAATATTTGGGCTAATTAGAAAACTTGAAATGAAAGCTTAAATTTATTGCACTGGTGAAAAAAAGTTTTGACTACTTGTCAAAGACGTCTCGCACAAATTTTCTTGGTGGATGATGTAGTGGAAAGTCATCATAGTATTACTTCCACTTACGTTCACATCAGATATGAGTAATGTTCTTACTCCTATTTTCTCTCCAGTTATAGATTTAGCACCATCAGTGGTTATAGCAGATATATTACTGAAGTCAACATTACATTTATCCAAAGTTTGTGTCAGACTCGAATACAAACCCATTCCTCGTATTGTACCTTTAAGTGCAACGACACTGGCTAATTCCTCTACTATTGTTAAGTTTCTATCAACGTCACTAATAAAAATGGCTACTTGTAGAGTATCTGCTGCATCTGTTGATTCATCCATCGCTACAGAATAAAACTCAAACTTTTTGCATTTGGATTTTAATTTACTGAATATATCTGTTGCGAGATCCTCTATGCGCCTCTATGAATAAATTCTTTTGCAAATTCTCCGAAAGTAAATGGTTTTCCACGCTTGACAATTTTTTCTGCTAACGTAACTAACATGAACACTATTTTCAGATTCTTTATTCGCTGTGGTGTCAGACTGCTGAAAGTCTGACACCATAGCGACCAAAGAAAGACTGCTGAAAATTTAGTTTTGATTTTAATTCACTCAACTTAGCACTTCGAGAATGACCTTCGAATGCAGAATATTTCTCACTGTGCTTAGTATCATAGTGTCTCTTAATGTTGTATTCTTCCATGACAGCTACACCACTGTCGTTTCAAATAAGACAAACTGCTTAAAATTCGTCATTTTCAGAAAGTTTTATCTCAAATAATATCACGCATGTCAATAAAATGTTTTAAATACACTGCTCGACATTGAAAATGCAACACCAAGAAGGAGTGGTCAGAAATTTATGCAAATTTTAGAGTTACTGAGTTCACTGAGTTATGCGAATCATGTGGAAATGCGCAGCTCTCCGACGCATGTGAAGTAAGATATAAGGGAAGAAAAGTGCAGA